CCCCCCCCCCCCCCCCCCCCAAGTATACCTAAGCCCCTAAACCCACACCCTAAGACCGATTACTCGCGTCCCTATACCATATAGGGGCCGAGGTAATCACAAATTGCAAACCAACACTGGGCTTCCTCATGGCTCCTTGTCAATTTCAATTTGTGGTAAAGTTCACCCCGAAACCCTTTTCAAATTCTCAAGATCACATTCTGGGTAGTTCTCTAAGCTAGTGTCCCTTTTGAGGCACCTCCCCCCCACCCCGCCCCCCACCCCCATCCCCAAAAAAAATGGCACGGCACACTTATGAAAAGGACCCGTAAAGGAACCCAAATTTGCACAACTACCCATACTGCTACTCTCATACTAAATGCCTCAGATGCTAACGGGTTACAACCTAACCGGAAAGCCATGCTAATGCCTTAAGCCCCTAAACCCTTGAACGCTCAACGCTCTACATTGCCGAAACCCTTTCTGAGTACTTTTTGGGGACGTCAAACCCTACGGTTTTTGCACTCTGACCTTCTAGGTACTCCGAAAACGAAAACCTTATCCCAACCCTAACCCTAAACGTACAAGACCTTAAACCCTAAATCCACTGCCCCACGAGTCCTTAAACTCTAAACCTCTAAGCCCTAAGTCCTACACCCTAAACCCTAACCCCTAAAACCCTAAACCCTAACCCCCCTAACCCCCCTAAACCCCTAAACCCCAAAACCTCAACCCTAAACCCTCTCAGCCCGAACCTTAGGGGCCCTCTAGGAAACTCTACCGCGCCGAGGTACTCCTGGAAGACCAGACAGGGAAGATGCTCCGCACGGAGCATTTGGTCCTTGTTCGGCGAGCGCGAGGCCTTAGGGTTTAGGGTTTAGGGGTTTAGGGGTTTAGGGTTTAGGGGTTTAGGGTTTAGGGTTTAGGGTTTAGGGGTTCAGGGTTTAGGGTTTAGGGGTTTAGGGTTTATATGGCTTAGGCTTTAGGGTTTACCCATAGGCCCCATAGTAGTTCCTTTTGGGGGTTCATACTTTCAATCCCATAAGGTAATCCCAAAAGGAACTACTATGGGGCCTATGGGTAGGGCTTAGGCTGCAGGCTTTGGTGTTTAGGGTTGAGGTTTTTTTTTTAGGGTCTTAGACTTTATTCTTGGGATCTTCGGTGCTTTGGAATCCAATGGGGGCGTGAGGGTTGAACTATTAATAGGAGTTTGAATTACGTTGTGTTTAAGTGAGGTTTAGGTTTTCGAGATTAGGGTTTCTTTAGGTTGGCCATGGATTGAAATTAGGGTTTCTTCAGAGGACCGGGGGGACAGCAAGTTATTAATGCATGTTGCCATTAGGGATCATCAGTTCCACAGTCAGTGTCCTGTTTATGAGCCCTAAACCCGAAACCCTAAACCGACTAAGTACCGATCGATAGGCTCGTCAGGTTTAGTGGCTCCTGGACCGAGGCATGGGTTAGAGCTTGATGAGATCGTCGACCAGTACCACACATACGGCCTTGTGCCCAGGCTGTAAAGGCCCTTTCAGAGGCGGCCACGTTCAAAGCTCGAGCGGCACTACGCAGGAGCAAGATAGACTTGCTCAATGTTTGCACAAACTGGGGCGCTGTCTCAGGAGGAGGACAGCGAACATTTCCACCCCAGGGTCCTGCGGGAGCTTCATGCGCAATACACGGCCATCTACCGGAGCAAGAAACCGTTGAGTCCCATCAGGACTTCAGCCAGTGCGGCATGCGTGGTTCGGTGTGGCGGAGGGATCGCTGGTTCTTCCAGAGAATTTCTCGAGCCTGACGCTTTCGGAGGGGGCCTTGAGCTCTGGAGCTTTCGGATCTCTCCTTTTCTTGGGATGGGTTTTGGGTTTAGAGTTCAGGACACACAACGACCACAGAAAGTGTTGGATGCTTGGACAAATCTCACAGCTTGGAGCACCAAGTTTCGAGCTTCAGCCCTAAACTCCTAAACCCCTAAACCCGCAAGCGCAAACCCCGAAACCCGCAAGCCCTAAACATCATGTTTGGCAGGGTGATGTCGTCTTGCAAACCAGGCCCGTTGTGAGCACCCTGCTTCGACGGTAGGCCTTCATGTATGACCGGACCATACCTCAACTTAACCATAACCCGTGCTTTTGTAGAATCTTATAAGGAACCTTCGTATGGAATTTATTATCGGACCCTACAAAACCACAGTTTCTGGTAGATTGCGGTACACGTAGCAGTAGAGTAGGCAACCTTACACATTTTTGGTGTGCGATCGCTCCTATATGATCCCACAGGTTGACCTTTAGTCTTCTTAAGAAAAATAATTCGACAAGTGAGCCATAGAGGTTTCCAAGCCTCAATTGCGGGAGGGCGAGTTTTGGCAGATTGGCCTGCAGGACGATGAGCCATCGTGGATAGGTTTCATTGCGTTGGTTTAGGGTTTAGGGTTTAGGGTTTAGGGTTGGGTTAAAAACTTACAGTTTTGCGGTTCGATTTTTCAAGCGTGCAGTGCAAACCGACTCCATGTAATGATTGCAGCTGTCCATAGCCCTATACCTACACAGACCTACACCCACTCGGACTGATCCTCTCCCAAATCCCTTGACCCCTGAAACAGCTAAATCTAGAGTTCAAAGGACAGATTCATTATTTTCGCAGGAAAGAGGGAATAAACCCAATAAGGTTGACCTAAAGTTGTCGATTCCTTGCTGAACGTACAAAGATGCTTAAAGCAGATGCCTATTATAAACTTTTGTAATTCCTTTTATCCCAAAACACGAGACCAAACCAAACTTAGAAGATTTTCCTAAACCCTTAAACCCTCCCTGAACCCTAAACTTCTTGTAGCCCGAAACCACAAGCAGAACCTTCGCCACCGCCGCCGGCGGGCATCTGGACGCCCCAGTGGAAGGCTCCAGGAGGGCTGCATCCTCAGCTTTTTGTGTCATTGATCATTGATATAAGCCCTAAGGACAGGAATTACTACCATGAGTCGGGTAAGTATCCCCCATATAGATTCTTAGGCCCCTTTGGGGAGGTGTTTTTAAGGTAACCCGTACCTCCGCGAGGATCGAAGCAGGGTAGATCCCCCAATTCGGGAGTTTATATTACTAAAGGATATCCTGTAAAAACCCCGTTAAAGGATGTGCTCCCATGAGTGAAGGAATCTGCTGAGGTTTTCGTGAGAATTTTTTAGGGGTAAGGGGCCATATTCCGGAACCGAGCTTCAATCCGTGGAGGCGTTGATTGTGGCAAGGCCGCAGTCGAGAACCAGTATAGTACAGTATAGTACAGTACAGTAGAGTAGAGTAGAGTACAGTACAATACAGTGCAGTACAGCAGAGTATAGTAGAGCATAAGAGATTACAGTGGAGTATAGTAGAGTGTAGTAGAATATAGTAGATTATAGTAGAGTATAGTAGAGTAGAGTATAGTATAGTACACTATAGTACAGTACAGTATAGTATCTACGGAATTCGAAGAGGATGAAATAGGAGAAGAGTTTGCATAAGCAGTCCAACTTGCTTACACACGCAGCTAACAACACACTCAGCCAAGCCAAAGGAAAAGGCAAGGGTAAAGACAAAGGCAAGAAAGGCGGCAAAGTCATCAAATACAACCTTACCATAGCTGATCGTAAGGCGAAGCTTGCAGAACTCAAGTCAAAGAGTAGGTGTCTTCGGTGCGGTGCCGTAGGACACTGGGCAGGGGACGTCGAGTGTCGCTTGAAGAGCGCTGATAAGGGAGCGGATTCCAATCCAAAGCCAACTGGAACCCTAAACCCTAAACCCTAAACCCTAAACCCTAAACCCTAAGCCCTAAGCCCCAGGCCACGAAGCCACAAGGGTTTATGGCAGTGCACGAATCCGATGACGAAGAGGTCGTCTACTTGCGCAATCCCAGCGCGAATTGTATGGCTATATGGCCAATACAGTACACAATAATGAAGTGTGTTGAAAGCCGTACAAAATAAACGCTAAACCGTGTTTGGTTTCAGGGCAGGTTAGAACTTAGGGAATTGTTGGCTTAAGCTATAGAGTTTAAGGGGTGAAGTTGAGGGTGAAACAGGCCTTGTAACTGAAAGCATGCTTGAGATTACTGTATTTGTAGATTGCACGTGGCGAGTTTGCGGTTTAGGTAGGGTTCAGAAACACCCCAAGCCTACAGCTGTAAACCCTATTTTAGGCAATGCCGGCTGGCTGAAATGGTAGCTTACGTAAGCAATCTGTCACAAGAACCCTCGAAACCAACATCCCCCTAAACCCTAAACCCTCAACCGAAACCCTCCCCTTGCGCACCCTAGACCCTAAACCCTAAACCCCTAAACCGTAAATTTAAAGCATCCTGAAGCGCCCTTCCTGAGATACGCCATTTCCTTAGCGCCCGGTGACCGCGTGCGGGTGAAGCTGCAGGCTCCACGGTGCGAGTCCAATGGATACTGGGGGTTAGGGTTCAGGGTTAAAGTGTACCCTAAACCCTAAACCTTAAAACCCCTATGAAAGCCTTTGAGCCCTGAACCCTTCAGTTTCAAACCCTAAACGGCTTCAGTTCAGTGGTTGCGGGGCAGGGTTTGGGGCAGACTTGGACACCACAGCTCCGTAATATAGGGCCTCAATACTTAGAAGAGGGTTTGTCAATTTGTGGGATCCTTAGTCTAGTATAGTAGAATAGACCACAAAACCCTAGTCTAATTAGTAAAGCCCCTGTATCAGCTTTTTCCATATTCTTGGACTCCAAAAGCCCTGTGCGTGTGCTGGGAGGGGCAAGCATTTGTCAGTCTTGCTTCGCCTACATACCCTAAACCCTAAACCCCGATGATTTCCAAAATCTAGTCTGCAGCTGACGCATCAGAAATCGACTATAAAGGTGGTTTCGGTTCAACCTTTGAGGATCCAGAACTTAGAACTCAGTATATTTGGGATCTCAAGTACCGTACTTGGCCTTACCCTTCAAGTGCGTCTTGATTGACCTTGTTGATGTCTGGTCGCCAGACCCCCAACTCTTTCGGTAAACATAAACCTAAAAGCCCAAACCCTAAATCCAAAACCCGACATCCTAACCCTTTCAGCTTTGGATTTGGAACCTCTTGTCCGAACCTACGGCTTGGGGTGTAGGTTCAGGGCTTACGGTGTAGGGTCTACTTTCTCCGGCCCTCTCCCAGTGGTGGTCGTACTGCATCTGCACAAGCTCAACCCTACTTGGACAACAGGCGTGAAGCACCAGGCGACTTGCTTATCATGGGCACTTGGAGGATCATGGGACTTAGTAACTAGGGTTATAAATACGGTAACTAGAGTCATAATTACTTATGACCCAATTAGGGTACTTATAACCTCACTTACTAAGTCCTCTGATCCTCCAAGCATGCAGAGGCGACATCTGATAGGGCTTTACTCGGCTCTTGCAATATCGTGATACTGTCAGATGATATAAACCTTGCATTACCTTAAGGACCCTAAACTATGGGAGTTATGGTATATTCCTTATTCTGGATAATCCAGGATTTATATCACCAATCACCAATCGTACGGGCTGGAGCATATACCCGGTACATGGACCCTTGAGTTCAGCCAGGTCTAGGGTTTGGGTTCGAAGCCCGAGACAAAATTTAAGCACCCCTTCTCCTAGATCCCTTGCAGACCGTTTTTCCAGGCACCATTCAAGGGTTCCTGTTAAGATATCCTAAGCACGCAAGTCCATAATCTTGAGGAGGAGCCGCTTCTGGAGCATCGCGAGGGCGGACACAGTCTCGAAGGCCTCCTGCCTTACGGGTTTTGGGCTTAGGGTTTAGGCTTTGTAGACTTTAAACCCTAAACTTAAGGCTCCAAACCCTAAATCGGTCGCAGATTTTCCACGGTAAGGCATTAAGGCACTTCACTCCCCCTATTGCTCCTTTTGACCCGAAGCCTCCGTTGCAAGGATCATGGGATTTCGCAACTAGCATCATAAATGAGGTAACCATAGTTATAGATACTGTTATACCCTATGCCCTAAGCCCTAAACCCCTAAACTCTAAACCCTAAACCTATAACCCCGGAGTCCCCTGATCCTCTAGGTAAGTAAGGTTTTGATGAGTGGGTACTGGGGCCAGAGTCGAGTCGGACGACGGGCGTCTGTGGAATTAGTAAGTAAGCTAGAATGAGTACGTAGCAATATGACTAAGCTTTAGGGTTTAGGGTTTAGGGTTTCGGGACCACGACAGCAGCATGATGTTGCTGTTCTTTCAGCATGGGCGCCTGAAAAAAGCATAGAAGAGGGTTTTGGGGTGTATATCGTCTGATCATATGGGCACCCCAAAGGCTCCATTTATCTATACAGTATATAGTTAGGCTTTAAGCACCATATAGGGACTACTAAGGCCAAAGTATATTATACTATACAGGTACATGGAACCTTTGGGGACTACATGGGGATTCTGCTAGCTCTGAAGGCCTCTGTGCTATGCAGGCGGAATATTGCTCCTTTCGTTGACAATGTTTTGTTAGTAGTGTTTCTGACTTTGCGATTATGATGACTTTTTTTAACCTCTAAACCCTAAACCCAAACCCTAAACCCTCAACCCTAAACCCTAAACCCTAAACCCTTAACCCTTAACCGTTCGATTTGGGGTTTGGGCGCGCGTGGCGGATTGCGTTGCTCTCGCGCCCGTTGGGGATTAGAGTCGCTCAGGCTTAGGGTTGAGGGTTTAGGGTCTAGGGTTAGGGGTTTAGGGACCCTAAACCGTTTAGGGCTTAGGGTTTAGGGTTTAGGGTGTAGAGCTTCGGGGCCTGCCGGTTTGGGATTTGGGGCTTTCAGGGTACAACTTTTAGGGGTTTACTGGCAAACTTTGAGTTGTGGTTGCTGCTGATATCTACCCCGAACCCTACGCCCTGAACCCTACATCCTGAAACCCTAAACCTCAAACCCTAAACCCTAAACCCTAAACCCTAAATTACATCCGCAAAGGCGCGTCACTGATGTCTACCCCCGGAAGCGCCATTCGTTTCGGTGATGCCCTAGGTGTGGTCGTGCGCTGGGAACCCGATCTCAACAAGTGGAAGGCGGGAGCCCGCAGTGCTTCAAGCTGTAGGGATCCATAAGGGTTAGGGATTTAGGGTTTAGGGATTCAGGGTTTAGGGATATAGGGTTTAACGATTTAGGGTTTAGGGGTCTGTTAATCACAGGTCGTATTAGGGAGACCCCTTAAAGGCTAAAAGGGGACCCTTCTTAACCCCACTTATGGCTCTCTGAAACGGAACCTTACCCAAAGGGTCCAAGTACCTAATAATCATATACTCTCCCAAATATTGAGCTAGAGAACTACTATCCGCAACTTAAAACCCTAAACCCTAAACCCTAAACCCTAAACCCTATTATTGGGTCCTTTGGACCCTTAGGGTTATTGAGAGGGTCTATGTCCCCAAGGGTCCCTAATCCTAACTCCGAGTGAAGGAGAGGGATCGAAGGGGATTCTGAAAGGAGCTGTGGGGGCCGGTTTAGGGGTTTAGGGGTTTAGGGTTTAGGGTTTAGGGTTTAGGGCTGAATCACTAGAACTGAGGTTTGGGGTTTAAGGGTTTAGGGCTTAGGGGCCCCTTAATCACTGGAACAGGGTTTTGGGTGCGAATTCCTAAACCCTAAACCCTAAACCGTATCGTCATGCCGTCATAACCATGATGAGGATCTTTCAGGAATAGTACTGGAACTATCGAGGCCGCAATAACGAGTTTAGGGCTTTGCCGGATCATAGTACACTTGGAGAATCATGGGACTTCGTAAGTAGGATCATAAGTCTCCTAATTGGGGGGTTATAAGTATTTATAAGCATAGCTACCTGATTAATAAGCATGGCTACTAAGTCCCATGATCCTCCAAGTAGCACAAGCCTACTGGGACCTGCCCAGTTGGGAGTTGAAGGTTTAGTGTCTAGCCTCGTTTCTTACTTGCATTTTACTGGAATTCCTAAACCCTAAACCCTAAACCCCAAACCCTAAACCCTAAACCCGAAACCCGAAACCCTAAACCCCAACACCGCCTGATGCGGATGATGGCTCAAAGCGGGCGACTATCGAGACCCTGAGCCCGAAGGATTCCAAAGGTCCGGAAGGACAGTGGTACACAGTAAGAAACATTGGGGTTTAGGGTTTAGGGGTTTAGGGCTTTGGGTTTAGGGCTTGAGGGTTTTGGGTTTAGGGGTTAGAGTCAAGGGTTTAGGGTTTTAGGGTTTAGGGGTTTGCGGTTTAGGGTTTGGGTTGGGGGGCTTCTGCAATAAGTTCAGTAAGAGAGCCCGCGATGGTCTTTCCTGTTTCTGCTTACTACTTAGAGGTTCACGGGACTTAGTAACTAGGGTTATAGATAAGGTAACTAGACTTATAATTACTTATAACCCCAATTAGGGTACTTATAACCTTACTTACTAAGTCCCATGATCCTCCAAGTACTTACTACTTGACCCCGATCCCTTAGGTACGCAGCAGGTCTTACATGCTGCACTCTAGACTCGCGACCCTGGAATGTGAATATCTGCACCCTGAACCCCAAAGCACTACGTAAAGCTACACCTAGTCAGCCATGAACCCTCAACCTTAGATTGACACCCTAAGCCACTAAACCCTAAATCCTAA